TTCCGTGTTGAATCTCTCGCTTCGGTGACTGTAGGTGACGGAGGTGGAAGAGGGAGTGTTATTTCCTTCTGGATGGTTCTGAAGTTGTCAGCGAAATCATTTGCCAAATGTCATGGGATCTTACTCGGGTTCTTTAACAGAGAAGCGGGATGCTGGAGGCTTAGTTGATGAACTAGGCAACTCCGGTGCTTGGACTAGTTTACTTTCCTGCACATCGTCTGCTAGGGCTGTGACCCCTTGCAAAGGAACTGCTGCCGTTGTGGCGAGTGGGGGGTTATCTATTCATACATAAGTCTGATGCATAGGAAGATGGTATTTGCTCTACCATGCGATTCCTGTCTGCTGCTCTCTTGATTCGCTGATGATACCGAGCTTCTCTGAACGGTAGGCGGCTTGTGGGAGAATACATGCGGTGCAAAGACTGATGCACTCTCAAATTCAAGAGGGTTCTTCGTGAAAGTCTTGAAAATAGCCGAGTCGGATTCCAAAACGCTAATCTTTTTGGACGCTCCGAAGCGATTGAGAGTGGCTAGCGAATTCGGACTCAAGGGGACGTCGAGCAAATCGGATGTGGGGTGGTGGCATTCCAATGATTCTTTGGCATGTCTACTGGGATCGCTTTGGCTATCGGGGATGACCACGTCACTATGCGGCTCTTGAACAACAGGATTATGGCTTTCTCTTTTGTCGCCCGCTGAGTCTGGTCGGACTTCATGACGAAGGCGAGAGGGCTTCTGTCCTTTGGCCAACATGCGTCTTCGAGCAGCCTGGTCGGCCATAAGGGTTTGTGAACGGCAGGCGTGATGCAGTGAACGTTGAGAGGAAATGGGCAACGGGGATTCTGAATGGCAGTATTTGGGAAGGTCTGTGGTGGAAGGGGAGATCGTCTGACAGACATGAGGGGTAGCAAGCTTGAAGGGTTGCCATTCTCTCCGCGCCTTCCATGATTGTTGTGAGGAAGTGGCGCTTGCTCTTGGCAACGCACCTCTTTCAGTGGCAGATGCGGTACACAAAAGCTGAAGAGAATCAACTAGCGAGCACGAAGAGTTGTACTGGTGCGTTCAGAGCATTGGTGCGATCCGACAATACTGATGCAAGCCCGTGTCTTGAGGTCTACTGATGGGCAATGGTTTGCCTTTACCTGTAATGCATCCTCATCCAAAATCACTGCTGCACATGTTCTTCTCGGCTCATTTGAGTTCCATATATGTTCTCTTTTTCTGTTTCTGTTTCTTTGGGTTCAGCCAAGCTTGACATGTCATATTTGTTTAGTCTTAAGTTGGTGTGCTACAACGTGTTGCATAGGTAGCAGACACATGACTGTAACCGACAGCTGAAGGTCAGGGTGCTGCTGATCAGCATGCCAGTCATTAAGTCCCCACTCGACAGTTGGCTTTGTTCAGCCCATCCAGTCTGTTTTCCTTATTGTTCCTGGACCTGCAAAGATCATCTCGATAGGCCGTCAATGGCTCAGCACCCTACGCTAGAAATGAAGGGACGGAAATGCCTGCACACGCCATAGCCTTGTGTCCTACGCTCTGCGCAACCAAGAGTGGGCGCTACCGATGAGTGGTCCTTAACACGACAGCTGGTAACGTCGTTCACGACGAAGCAGGAGACTTGCGGATATTTGCATGAATCGTCTCCACAGCATTGTCCGAAGAGTGGCACGTTCAATTCTAGCAGCAAGCAGCTGGATACGACCCGATTTCAAGACACCAGGCAAAAACACCTACAGACTACGGCTTCACCGACTGTGTTATGGGGCCGCCATCACACTTGAGCCCCGTGGCCATAGAGAATCAAGAGTCGCTGCTGGCTGGCATCCCTGAAACATAAGAGGCGGCGACATTGCTAGCAGGGCGGTTGTGGCCAGGGTCGGACCAATCACGAGTGCCATCCCGTTAGCCTCGCTGCACCGTCACGTCCATCCACCACATTACGCGCCCACGACCCCTTACGCCCTGCCAATCCGCGCAGCTTACGCTCCCAAGCCGACAAAACTCGACGCCAATGCCGCTATATTAAGAAGATGGCCTGATGGGCCCTCCCGACAGCCAACCTGGTCTGCCGTCCAAGCGCACGATGCTAACCGCCGACAAAGCCTGAGACTGGCGGGGTATTGGACGACCATTGGAGAAGGCAGCGGTTTGGGTAAAAGAGATGTGCGCGCGTCCATGCAAATATAGAGGCCTGCCCTCCGCGCTGGTAGCGAGTTGTTGGTATCTATCCAGTTGATCGAACGCCCTTCACGCCATCCTGGTGTCACCAAAAACTCAATCAATTCTCCGTCGTGCCGCATTCCAACATTCCCGTCTGCATCACCATGAACGGGCCTCTTTTCCTCTCGCTCCTCTTCCCGCTCTTAGCCCTTGCGCAGGATTCGTCTTCGGGCAGCAGCCTCCCGCCTCCAGGATACAATGGAGGCAGTGACAACCCCGAAGACCCTAGCGATGCTGGCGCTGCAGGCTCGCAAAAGGGCGCTTTCTCTTTGTCAGACGGTGCCATTGCTGCTATCATCGTGGTAGCTGTCCTTGTCGTTCTGGGCTCAAGTACATTCATCACTTCACTTCTTAAACATACTTGAACTAATAAACATCCAGTCGCTTCTGGCGTCCTCTGGTGGCTCGCAAAGAAGCGTCAGTGGGACGTTCGAGCATCCATTCGCCGCGCTTCTCGTCGCTTTACCGGCCGCTCAACTGTCGACAACAAACAAAACCGCTCGGATCGACGCACCGGCATTCGCCTCAACTCCCCGCCCCCAGGCAAGAACACCAACAAGATGCGCGACATCGAAAAGGGTCTCCATATCCCACACAAGACTCCTCAAACCACTACCATCATCACAAGTGGCACCAAGTGAAGGCACTTGGGATACATTTTGGCTCACTGAGCCGGATCGAGGGCGCTGCAGGGCACGTCGACTCCGGAGACGACGACGAACGCATGCGCCATGGAGACACGGAAGGCCACAACAAACACCATGGCCATGCCTGACGGCCAGAATGTAGTCTATGCTGCTTCTTGACGAGGCTCAAAAGCAATCTCATTCACGATGGCACGTCTGGGGACACGACAGTAATGATACCATTTGGAGAACAAGGCACCAAGCTAGTCACGGGAGCGGCCTATTCTGCATTCACAGGCTGTTATCTCTACCATTTTTTTCTTCGAGTTCTGCGTTTTGCCGCATTCTATGATACCACAGACTTTTTAGTATTTCAGTTCGATATCCACCAATTTTGGTAGAGAAATAGATCCAACAAACCACTTTGGTCTGCATGCAACAATCTGGCATAGCTGCACCTTGCTGGTTTTATTCAGATGCATAATACGGAAATAACACTCATGTGCATAACTTTTCCACTCTCGATTCTCTTTATCGCCATAGGTTGACAAAAGGGTGTAGTGTATACAACCGTCTGACCCCACCCAGCCCTCGATGGATAAATGGGTCCCTGGAGAGACCCCACTAAACTTTTCTTACCCCACCCAAGGCTCTTGGAATCTGCACTCGTGGTCTGATGACATGTCACTTATCAGATTTCCGGTGTTTCGGCACGCGCCCATGCTAGGGCTGGGAGCAAAAAAGAAAACGACTTAGCCTATGCAATTGCATAGTATGATTTGGTATCGCACTGCAAGGACGGAACCGCTGCTCGGGCAGCCTTATTTTTGGCGTCGTTCGGAAATTAAAGAACATGAGGGTAAAAAGATAGGCTAGCCGAAGCGGAGCGGGGAACTGTCACTACTTCCTCGGCTTTTTTGCAACCTCATGCTCTTTGTCTGGTGGCCACGTGTGCCATAATGCACACATTTATGTTTTTTTTTGTTTTTTCTTACTGTGGAGGGGAAGAACATTAAAAGTGGGTACTCTCTTTTTTCAAGTTCATTCTCTTCTGATTCATGTCGAGACATTTTTTGTCACGAGCCAATACCCGCCGTTTCCAGTTTCAAAACATACATAAGAAGCTACTTGACGACGTCGACTGGCGTTGGATCTGAGAAGCGGCAGATGGAAGTAGGGGAAGGGAGATTGTACGCTTGTTTCACGAGGGATTCTTGACACCACTAGAATACCGGCAAGACATGATGTTGTGCGTATACAAGCTTTGGTGTTTTTTTTCTTCTGGAAGTTAAACGATGTCATGCTGTGACTATTTTGTTGGTGGTTTCGCTTCATGATGTGCTTGCTGAAGCTTATGATGGGAGTACACGAGATCTCGGCGGTTCTTACTCATTGACCCCATCGCACACTTGCGTAGTCAGAACTCAATTGGAGAATCGAACCATTTCTCTCTTACCACATACAGTTATCTGGTCCCTATCGCATTTGATGCGGCAATGTCGCAAGCCGCAATTAGCACGTCAGCCAGTCTTCGCCATACTAACGGTAAATGAGCCCATAGACTTCCGGACATCAAACTCTGTAACGATCCGTGCAGACGATGCATCGTGGTCCTGCAAAGACGATCCACCCACCAGAGGAAATCTTTGCGACGCTTGTAATACTGTGCATACGTTCGAGCAGGCTTCTGGATGCAGTAAGCAACAGATGCAGTATGGGTCGAAGAGCGATAGGAAAACACAAAAACAACGTATGCTATTAGAACAGGGACCGAGTACAGATAACAAGACTAGCATACCCACACTACTCTGTTGCTTACCTCGCCGATCAAACTTTGTAATTGGCGGAGCCGCATCGGATTCATTCCGACCATGCCCGCCAATAAATGACCGTGCACCCAGACCGCAAGCTCATCGTCGATACACACAACAAGTACATTTAGGTTTTGGAAATGCACTAATGCTCGTACTGCCGTAAAACCCTCATGAATGCTGTCATCCCCGCATCTTTTCATGGCCTGTTCGCAAATCGCTCCTTCCAGCTTTAGCAATCACGAATAAATCGAGGATTCTCCGATAAAGATCGATACACCCCATTGGGCCGACAACCAAGAACATCCCCAAGCCCTACGTTAGCAACAACACAACATACAATGGTCGACTCCAACGGCCGCAACGAAAAGCAGAAAATGGCCATTCCTCGGCTCCAGCCACGCCCCGGGTTGAATACAAGAGACCAAGAAGATCGTGTGTATGTTACGTCAAGATGCGTTGCCCTCCCTAGTAATAACAAAATTGTGTAGAAAAAAAGCATGCAAGATTTGTCGCCAGCGTAGTGCGTGTCGCAGAAAAAGCTTGACAAAGTGTGAACTCACTTTGTCATAGGGATGAAATGTTCGGGCACTACTCCGAGATGTCAAAACTGCGATGCTGCTGGAAGGACTTGTGTATACGAACAGAGTCGGCGTGACCGCCTCGATGAGTATACTTTCCTGAATCTGCAAGCGCTTCTTTGTCTGCTAATTTTTCATAGAGCGATACAACTGAACCACACGCTTGCCACCCTGCTCTGGGACATGAACGAGCACCTCGATGACGAATCCAGGCAAAAGATACAGGACGTTCTAGATATTGTATGTTCACCTGTGATAAAGGATACATCTTCAGCATATTGAAGAAGCTAACTGTGTATCTCGTTGATAGGTAGAAGAGTATGCAAAGCTACAATCCACAGAATGGCCTTCAATCACTCTAGGGAAACGAAATCAGCTACCTCACAGAGAACTCCGGAGAGCACCAAAATATGGAGAGGCGTTTGTAAGCGGCTCTATCGGATCTGACCAAAGCCTTGACAACTTGTTTGAGGACTTGACTCGGAGTCACAGATCGAGAGAAACTGGCTACGTGGGTCAAGCCTCCGAGGTCCAGTGGTTACTCAATGTGCAACGCCAACTGCAAAACATCAAAGCAGAGCCCTGTATTCCAACATACATCATACAAAACCCAGATCGAGATGCAAAAAGGACGCGGCCTGGAACTATCGCTGAGCGTACAAGCAATGCCCTGCAGGTCTCGTCACAGGGCACTTGGAAACACATGACCGACACCTCATTCTATCTCGACAGCTCCGACATAGCCTCAGACGTATTCATAGATCCCTATGAACTCCCGAATGTGGAGACTGCAGAGCGACTTTTCGGCTACTACATCAATACAGTCCACTTATCCTTTCCGCTTGTAAGACTCAATATAAATACGTTTTGTATGAAAGATATGCCGACATGGTCTCCCTTTTTCTAGGTAAATGCAAAATTCGAGCACCAATTCCGTGCATATATTGAATCTGTCAGAGAAAAACGCAACTTCAACATGTCCAATGCATGGCGAGCTCAGCTGAACTTGATCTTCGCGATAGGCGCAAAGTGTTCTCATCTTACGAGTGCAGAATGGAGAGCAGACGAGAGTGATCATGGGTATTATATGATGAGAGCTGTGTATCTCATTAGATTTGAGAGCTATCTCAGAGTGTTTCCATCCCCCAGTTTAGAGCTTGTGCAAGCGGTGAGTCAACCATAAACGCCATCTTCGATCATTTGGTTGGTTTATACTGACACTGAAATGTACAGACTTACTCAATGTCTTTTTACCTTCTAACAATCGGCCATGTGAACAGAGCTTGGGCGTATATCGGTGTCTCGCTACGTCACGCTATTGCTCTCGGCCTGCACCTCCGCAACACAGCCACTGAATCGGTTCACATCGAGCAAGATACGTTGACACACACATGGTGGACTGCATACTGCATCGAGACTCTGATAAACACTATCATGGGCAGGCCTCCAGCAATTACTGACGAACACTGCACAGTGCCATTACCTAATCATGAGTTTGAAAAGGATGTGTCAAGCAAGAAGCCATACCTCGTCTACCGTATCGATATTGCTCGCCTCACAAGAAAGGTTCAGCGGTATCTATACTCGCCACAGACTGCTACTCAGTCTTGGGAAGTGAGTTCTTCTCAATTACTACATGTCGCTTCAATTGTTATCCACCTTACTTATATATCCACAGTTTGTACAAACGACAATTTCAGACCTTTTCAATGACCTCGACAAATGGAGCACAGCAGCACTTTCCCCGAGCCCCGAATCACAATACAGCAGCCGTGCAACCGACTCCAACCGTGAGCAGTTCCTCTTAAGAATAGATTACTGGAGCACAAAGATACTCATTACACAGCCATGTCTTCGCAGCTTGGGATGGCGTGTCGAAAATCAAAGTAGCACATCTGCAGATTTTGATACAAATATGGCTGATTCATGCATTACTGCTGCCTTGGAACTGGAAAAGATGTTTCCTGTCCAGCTCAACACGAAGTTCGTGTACAAGGATGGCCCGTGGTGGGCAATTGTCCATATCAGTCAGTAAGCTGAACAAGATTAGATGATGTACACTGACTTTCGATCTCCAGTAATGCAAGCAATCACAGTCCTGTTGCTGGAAATGACCTACAACATGCAAGGCAAAAGAGAACAAAGGTTTCCTGTGATACCTTCACTACAGAGGTTGCTCGGCTGGTTAAAGGCCATGCAAGACAGCGATCCGGTAGCTTCTCGCGCGTACGATGTCGTTCGGCAAACGCTGAAATCCTGTTCTCCGCTTTTCCGGGTTCAGGTGGATGAACTTCTCGCGTTCTCAGATGCTGGTCACTCGTAACAATTACTCACTAAGTAGCTGCTAAACGAACAGAATCGAGTACATCACCAGTTCAGATTAACATTAGATTGTTTTATCTTCTACTCACCAGTTCTTGACCAACTCGTCTTCCCACCCTTTCCTTCGCATCAGTCTCAGTAATCCCAGTACTTTTTGACTCTTACTTTAGTGCCAATGATCAGCCAATGCAACCAAGTGAACCGCGTCTCGGTTTTGGGTCTCGCCAATCGTAATTGCGACAAGCACATCAAAACCGAAGCTCTAGATTCACATTCAGAGCTCCTCACCACAGTGGAATAGATACTGTAAGCATAGCCAGGGCCCAATACAGTAGATATTATGTATTCCAAAGTTCACCCACGAACCGCTATCAAGCTCCCTGCATCTTCTCGCACCCTCAAACAATCACCAACCCAAATCTCTCCGAAAACACCAATCACAACCCCAACCCCAACCCCCGACATCGCCCAACTCACGTACCGTATCAAACCACAGTACATGGCCCATTAGTCACCATCTCACTTCCCATACCCACCAGCAATAGCCCTTCCACCCTAAAGGGCACACTAAATTACACAAAATCCACATCACCATTACGCCAAAAAAAACCCCGTTGTCGTAATTGCCATGGCCGAAAATTCACTGTCCTCGTAGCTATTGCATTAGTAAACTATACTAGAAGAGATTTGGATCGAGGGTGTGCCATTCATACATAGGGAAATTCATTCGTGCTTGCAGCTACGAAGTCGCTATCTCTTACTTCTTGCTCTTGCTCGACCCCGTCTTCCGATCAATCAGTCTGGCCTACTATGCAAAACAAACAATCTCATCGGACTCGGACTGGGAGGGGGGAAGGGGGGGAGAAGCAAAAAAGGACAAATGAGAGATCAATTTGATAGAAACAATAGTTTCGCTCGACGCCACGCCATTGTAGCATTGCAAATACCCTTTTGTCGTTGTCGTTGTCGTTCGCCATTGTTGTTTTAAGATTCATAAGGAAAAAGGAAGGGGGGGGAGGGGGAAAGTTGTTTAGTTTTGATAGGGGAAAACGGGCAGTTTAAATGTTGGTAGTTTGGTAGTACTCAAACTGTTTCTTCCTACAACCAACCATTCGCGCCGATTTTGGTCGAGAGAAAAAAAATAAAAGTTCGATGCATCTGGAGTCTAAATGAGGAAAGAGCCGAGCATCCGGTGCGTAGTGAAAATATACGTTCATTGCATATGTGTATGACTTATGCTGATACGAGCTTGGGTGCCATTGAGCCAAACGAGTAGCAATGCTCGAGATGGTTCTTTATGGTGTGAACCGCCATTCATTGCCACCATTACCAGGTCTCACGCCCTGGGAGTCTATCTGGCACGCATTGAAGGCTCTGCTTGCTCTCATATCAGGATTTCCCAGTCCTTTACGCACAAGCCTATTGTTTGTTCCCCAATAGAGTCCGCTCCCTTGTCATACACGACACGTACAACTTCATCAACTTCCATCTAGCCCCGTCCCAAGCCAAAAGGTACGAAACACAACAACCCCAGAAACATTGACACAATCGTGACCTAATCGCGATCATACAGCACACAGCGCACGCACGCAAAGCAACAAGACACATCTAGTGGAAGGGAAAAAAAAGCTGCAATATAAAATTGCTACTAAATAACCCCCCTCCAGGAGATTCCAACCAAGGAGCCATCAAGTCCGCACTCCCCCATCTTTCCAAACTCCAAAAAAGGCAACCCATGGTATGTATAATGCGCGCTCAAATATTGACTCCCCTCTCCCCAGAACAAAAAAACTCCCTTTCCTTGATTTATATCACCTCTCCTTCATGGCGCGCTGGACGCTCGACTCGACAACGTTTTTTTCCGCGGTGAAAAGGCTTTTTACATGACGGTGCAAGGAATGCAGCAGCAACTGCAATCATCGGTGCTGATGCAGCTGCATTTGCCGCCCTGGGGCTTGACGATGGAGCCGGCGGTGGAGGCGATGGACGAGGTGGCTGAGGCGGGCATGGTTGCGGCCTTGCGAATAAATTTCGGGTATATAAAGGTTGAGATGTAGAGAGAGAGGTTGGGAGGACGAAGTAGTAGTTATCTAAGGGGCGCAAAGTGTTGAGGGATGTTGCGCTATGACGTTGTTAGACAGAGAGAGTTCCTTGGGCTGTTGCTTTGAGGAGGCGCAACGGCGCGTTTGGAGAACTTACAGTGTTGGTGGTGAGGATAGAAGAAAGAGAGGTAGATACGTGAAGAAAGTACAAGTTTGTGGTTTAAGAGGGGGGAACAGAGGGAGATTAAGGTTGTCGTATAACAGTTTCCTGGCCCTGCTTCAATGCTGCTGCGCGTAGCGCTAGGCCAATGATATGCCGACGCTAGCGCCGACATGACGTTACCCGCGTGGCTGTGAATGTGGCTGACGCCCTTGCATTCGGAGATGGATACACGTCGAAGCAGAATGGAAGAGAATGTGGCAAGCTTCGAGTAAATTGACTTGTTTTCATATCTATCAGTTGATGAACTTATAAGAAATGGTATCGCGAAAAACGATCAAGAGAACCCAACACCGTGCCTTGACGCAAAATATGGACTTTCGCATTACATCTAAGACCCTACACATCCCTCCAGGTTGGCTGGCCTCTCTCCACAAAAGGCGTCTTGATTGCTGAAGAGAGTTAGTTCCGCTTAGCGTGTTGGTTGTGGGGGGCTCACCATTGCTATCACCAAATGGATCGTTTTCGTCTTCCTCAGGCTCGCTGTCCGATTCAACACGCTGCTTGTTAGCCACGGGAGAAGGCATAGGGATGCTCGTGGGTCGCGGTGGCTTTGGTGGAGGTGCCTCATCCATGCCCATGTTGGCCATGGCCGCTTCAGCAGCGGAAACATTGCCTGCCTCGTTGTCGCTGTCGCTGTCATCATCAATGCTCTTGTCCATGATTTCAAATGCCATTAGTCCCTTGACCAGCTCATCATTGGCATTGAGCAGACCGCCAATGTACTGTTCTGACTCAACGAGGTGAATATAGCGCAGAATCTGACGGCGGAGTTGTTTGCACGTCTCGAAGCGGCGCATGACTTCCGCATTTTCGCTGACTCGCTGTTGCTCACGATTGATAAGTTGCAGCCCATTCAATAGATTCGTACTAGCAACGTTTGCTGATGCAATAGTCTCAAGCATCTGTCCCTTCTCTCTTTCGAGATTGAACAGCTGTCGCTTGGTCTTCTTGTCTTTCTTGTCCCTCCTGCTGAACAATGAAGAACTGGTAGAGGTACTAGGGCCTGGTGCAACAGGAGCACTCGTCCTGGAAGACGAACTTTGAGACGGTTCGGACCACTTATTTCTAGGAGGAGATTGTGAGTGCTCCTCACGTTCGCGAGCGGCTTCGGCGTCTTGCTGCCGTACTATACGAGACTGTTGCGGCTGCGGGCGCTTAGTTCGAGGAAGCTCCTTGTGAAGCGCCGCTATTCTTTCGAGGCCAGGTTTTCCTTTGTATTCCGCTGCCCATCCGCGAAACAGGACATTGGCTTTCTGTCGTACATCAGGATCTACTGTATCGTCTCTGGCCAAGATACGAAGTCGCTCCAAGAGGGGCTCATCTGCAAACGTCTTTTGGAATCTTGTACCAGCATTCTGAATCAATGCATCCAATATGACAAGAGCACGTATCTGGCGGTGCGCATTGCCATATTTGCTGTAGTGGTGTCAGAGCCTAGTATCAGCCAGGGCAATTCTGAACTTACAGCTTCTTGCGCAAAGCTCGAGCTGCTTCCGTTGGTCCAGATGCTTGGATGCGGATGACCTCAATGAGGTCGACAACTCCACCGATATCCTAAGCCACTTAGCGTCGCAGACGCAGGCAGTTCGTGGTACTTACATTTTCTTCGTATTGCTCGCTCGTTAGTCGGTCAATCTGGACCGTTACGGCCGAAAACACGTGCTTCTATTGCCGGAACCAGGACTTTAGTGACTTGTGACAGTGTTCAAAGAAACATAAAGGGCAGGGGTTTTCGGATATGGGTAGTTCTGCATATGTCTCTGGCTCTTTGTGATAGTGCAGACCCTTGATAGTAGAGAGGACTTTGAATTTGCCCGATTTGGGTAAACTCTGCTTTGGGGAAGAAAGGGCTTGGGGGTCACATGAATAGTAGCGATAGGTGACAGAAGGACGGCCCGGCGACTGGCCAGCAACAAGTGGCTCAACATCGATGCGCTGAACTTTGGGGACCATGGCTGAGTGAAGGGGTATTTGGGACGAGTGGCGCAGAAAATGAGAACGGGGATGCTGATAAAAGGGGGCAATTCTGGGGTTCAGGTGATTTTTGTATGCGACTGAATGTAAATGTAGCTTACCGGCATTTGCGATGGCCTCGGGATGGACAGCTGCTATATTTGGGTACAAGAAAAAAGCAAAATAGTCGTGAATGGAATATTCTTTCTGCTGTCACGAAGTGCTGCAGATCTGCACAGATGGGTGAATCAGTTTCCTCACCACGGTTTGGAAGAAGTTTGGAAGCTGATTTGGGGGTAGGGATCTGGTGTTACAGATAAGAATAGAACAGCGGGTGGACTTGGGAGAATACGTGCAGGCGAAACGTGTGGAAAAGAGAGTTGTCCGAGGGCTGGAGAGCTCGTGTTCTATGAAGGGAAGATGTTGTATGTACACGCGGTATGCGAGTGACGCTATCGCTGCCTTGATCCGGAGGCAGGTCACCCCGCAGTGGGGGGCTGAGTAAGGAAGTCACGCCCACGCGCCCATTACCTACTCCCCTCCCCCAATTAACTCTTGGGCCCCAATCTTCACTATCTACTACATGTCATCTGACTCGCAATCAACTCTACAGAGACGGAACATAATCTGTGCAGTGAAAGAACGACTAAGATGGTGATAGATAAGAACATTGATGACGCGTGAGAAGCCCGAAATGCGTGCATTCATCACTTCAAACTCCCTGTCTTTCACCATTGCAAACTAACACGAAGCCTGTAGGCAATCTCACCTGCCTCAGGTTTCTTCTGGATTTACAGCAATCAACCATGGGCCGGTACATCGTGAACAGCTCTTGACGCCCGAATCATCGGCGGTCACATCAGTCCGGCCGAACCCAGCCTCATCAAGGGCGATCAGCAGCCCGCGACGGCAGCACAATCCAAATGTTGCTCGATACCTCGGCTTGGGCAGCACCATTGAGCCAGATCATCTCAAGCACTATGCACCACGGCCAGCAAAACCAGACGGTCGACTAGTCAAGTCTGAGCGAAAGCGTGTACGACGGGCGGATGACAAGATTATACAGCGTAGCTCCCGCACAAGAGAGCCTCCAGGCAGACCTGCAGCATCGACACCTGCACCTACCCTATACAGCACTCAATCTTCGCAGGATACCTATGACTCAAATGACAGTAGATCAATCATCGACAACCACACTTTGCCCCAGTCATACTTTGCTCAACCTGAAGTTTCGCATGTAACTCCGATGAGCACTCTTGACTCAGAAACTGTGCGAATGAATAGTCAAGACGCGGCGAAAGCACTACATGCTGGGAATTCTTGTTTGTCACTGCCTGATCGAGGGGAAGACGACATAATCGGTATATATCCGGATACTGACGTCAGCAACGTGCTTTGTCGGAACAACGATGGCATAACTACCACCAGCGATGATTATGAGTTCGACATGACAGACGATGAATTACTCATTCTAGCTTCAGGTTTTGATGGGACATGTTTCGACATCCCTCACAACATCTCAGACTCACCTGCAAAGTCCTATCCTACGGACAATGAACAGAGGCACGCTGGTGACAACTGTAATGAAAATGCACCTGAAGAAGCGCCTGCTATCAACACCTCTCAGCACACTCGTAAGAAGTTCGTATCTCCAGTCACTCTAACTACCCGTCTACTGGCTGTCACCGGCGATGGGGGATCTGCAAATGCTCGGACGCCGATTGTCAGATCTCCATTCCCGAAACCAGCTCGCGACCGCTCGCCTATCATAGGCCTTTCGTCAAATATAGTACTCAGAACATGTTTCCGGATTGGTGAAGCAATCAATCAGGCCCATCAAGCATCAAAGGCAGGACAACAGATGCTCATTGAACTATATGCCAGAGTGCTTGCTTCAGAGCGAACTGAGAAACAGCAACACTTTACCTTTTGCGATCTTTTCCACGCCAAGCCCCCTTATGTGAAGGGCGCTTATGATGCAGTCATCTGGAAGGCGGTGCCGTTGTTCGAATATGACAGCAGACGGCTGATGCAGCAAGGGCGAATGTGTCGATGCATTGGTACGATGAAGCGGAATGGCAAGGAGAGGTTCATGGTGATTCACAACATATGGGAAGCGACATGGGAAGACGTTGAGTGGGTGGAGGGTATCGTGAACTTTTAGGGGTGTGGTTGGGGCAACGGGCACATGCGAGACGATGATCTGTTAGCGATCTAAGCGCGGTAATGACTCTTTGGGAATACGGATATGGTGAGATGCTCAATTAGAGTTTGTCGCCGGGGGTCGATGGAGATAGCATGTCGCCGGGTGCTGGATAAGGCACCAACACAGGGAACAGAGGGTGAGGTTGTCTGTGGCTGGCACGTGACGATAGTAGGCCCTGATTAGCAGCCGCCCCGCTGTGGTGACATTGACGTCGAGCGAGGCGGGCCGGGCGTATCAATCACAACCAAGGTTCATTCTTGTTCACAGCGCCTCGCTAATATAATGAGTCTCGCCAGTCGCCCTGCAGAACCCTCCTTCTTCTTCCCTGGTTGCAATGTTGACGGCCACGACGACTCCAGATACCACTAGCAGACGCGAACCCGGTGACCGCGAAGGCGCCGTAATGGCGTCGCAGGTAGTGACAACACCACCAAAGACGCAGTCGCCCAAAGCACGGTCTCTCTCCGACAGCACACCCCGTCTTGAGCCATCGCCAAAAATCCATGAATCCGCACGCATGTCAAAGGACGACCACACCATCGATGCCAGCCCCAGCACCCCTCGCCGCCCCGACTTCCTCTCCAGAGGCCTCTCTCTGCAGATGCCCCCAAGAGAGTCGCACATGCCTAGCCCCGCCCACTTTGCTGCGCGTGTGCCTCTCTCACCGCAACTAGATGCGCGCAACACGTATGCCTCCCCTGGGTCCGTCCTGCCCCGCCGCTCCCGTGGTGCCGAGTTCTCGCGAGCCTGTACCAATCTCCATCACTCGACGCTCCCTGACCAGTCGTCCCCCGACTCCTCGCCAACCATCACGCAAAAGGGCATCAAGATACCACCGCGGAAGCCTCGTTCCAACTCGATGCTTATGGAATCGCCCAACGTGAGCATGCACGGGAGTGGATGGAGCCATGGGGATAGGACGGCACCTTCGAGCTCGGTTGGCAGCATTAACATGATGGGATCTGAAGACTCGAGCAGTTCTTCAGACGAAGTGGACCCGTTAGACCCTGATGATCACGACGACCCTATGATCACGACACCACAGGCTAAGACCAATGTCTTGTTTCCAGGTCTCGGCTCAGGCAACAACGGGATCTGGGCAAACCTCTTCTCCCCCGGGGCACAACCCAACTTTGCAAGCATGCATCGCGCTAGGCTGCGCAAGGGCCGAAGTAGGAAAAGTTCGAGCTCAGCCAGTGGGCATAGCTCAATGGCCAGTCCCGGCCCAGGGTCACCGCCGAATGGTAAGGAAGGTGGGTATTTTGCCCGAGAAGCAGCAATACGCAAGGCAGGCTCCCGGAGAGAGAGCTTATCACTTTTTGCCAACGACCTCCACATATCATCTGGTAATGATAGTGGCGATGAAGCTGTCAATTTACCTCAGACTCCTGGCGTGGTGAGACGGGCGGTAACGCGGAGAGGCAACTTGCTTGTACGTTGCTTTCTACTTTCATCTTACTACTAGAGCTAAACATGCTAACTTGACCAGCCGAAATCGAGACAATTTGGCCGTATCAGAGCCGAGTTATTCGAAGAGGCGGCACCCGTAGATAGCGAGTTCCGCCGCGAAGCCGAAATCATACGGCAAGTAAGAGAAAGTGATGTAGACCAGGAAAGGACTTCGGTCACCGCCCAATCCTCGCCTAGCCTTCTACCTGCCGTTCCTGGACTGGATGGACCACTGGAAGGAGTACCGGAAGAAGGTGACGAAAGCAGCATGAGTCTCGATAACGCCAACACCAAGGGATTGTTTGGTGTGTTTGGTAGTCTGCATAGCGCTGGCCGAAATTCAACAAGCAATGGCTTCTGGAATCAACGTGCAGCTCACACTCCTCCGCCATCCTGTCCTCGAGCGGAATCATCAGCAATGAGTGAAGACATGAACATGGATTCGCCAATCATCGGCCCCAACGGTGGAGCATCTCGGGCATCCACACCCGGGCCGATGCAACCCCCAACAGCAGCGGAAGCGCTGAAGAAGTCAAATAAACGCCGGCGAGATGACGACTTTGATGAAGCCTCAATCAAACGCCGTGCCGTCTCGCCAGGCGTCAGCGTTCATAATAGTCCTGTCATTTCTCAGTCGCCGGCTCAGCGGGACGGAAACCTGTGGGGAACAAGCGCCAAAGCAAGCAGAGAAACATCTATCAGTGGGCACTCGTATGGTGAGCGCTCAAATAGCGGAGGCAGTATGAGTATGACGCCTACGTTGGGGCCAAAGAGGATAGGCCTACAAGGCATGACTGACACGAGTGATGGTTTGATGAAGATGAGCATCGAGTAGGTGCGCAAAATGCGGTGTTTTACAAAATACGGGGAGTACACGGTATAAGCTTTATTTCTGGCACGGTGTTGAGGGCAAGAGGGATTGAACGCACATGATTAGTTCATTCTTCCACAAGCTTTTTTTTGTTTTGAATAGATACCCATGTATTATCTTTCATGCTATCACCAAGCGTCTGGCGCATTATAGGTTCTGCATCTGCTCTGCGTGTACGTAGAGTGACGGGTGGCCCCTGCACTCCCGCTGGACCCCGCCCCGCTAGGCTCCTCCGCCCTCGACGTGCGCCCGCAACTGTGCCAACACAACAAGCAATTGCTGGACCAAACAACCGTAAAATGTCACGAACAGCAGCCCTCTCTTCCTTTATCGACAGCGCGCCGCCGGGTGAGGTATATTCCCCATTGTTACTGAATATCGCTCGTGTTACAGCACCAACTGACCAGCAATACAGCTCGCGGATGTCACCAAAGCAATCAAGTCAATCCTCGGTGACGACTCTGTGCAGAACGAGCTCTCTCCCGCATTCCAAAAGTACAACGAAGAGCAATTCGCTACGACCAAGCTCCCTGGTGGAAGCACCGAGGTCCTAGTCAGCCAGTACAACTCGCTGGGCGACGGCAGGTACTACGACATTGACACGCAGAGCTCGTTCGATTTCGACCATGTCACTGGCAAGGCAAGCGCCGTGCAGAGCTACGTTGTGGAAACTTCCAACGACGATCTTCTGTACGTATACCTCTGCATCTTCAGGCGATGGTGCCCAAAGAGATGGCAACATGCTAACCCCTCACCTCAGCAAGAGCCTTAACAAAGCCCTAAGCACACACGCCGCAGAACACTACCCCAAGTCCTCGCACGGCGTATACCCGATCCCTTCATCCTCCAACTTCGCCATCATCACCGTCGCAAACAAGTATTCGCCCACAAACTACTGGAACGGCCGCTGGCGCAGCTCATACATCTACGACTCGTCCTCGGGCAGCATCACAGGCAGCATAAAAGTCGACGTGCACTACTACGAAGACGGAAATGTGCGCCTGCTTACCACCAAGGAGGTCAGTGTTAATGGTAGCGGCGCTAGTGGACCGGAGGTCGTGAGGAAGATTGCGGCGGAGGAGAAGAAGTACCAGGAGGATTTGAACAAGGCGTTTGCTAGTCTGAGTGAGGGCGCGTTCAAGTCGCTGAGGAGACAGCTTCCTATTACCAGGCAGAAGATTGAGTGGGAGAAGATTAGTGGGTATAGGTTGGGTCAGGATATTGGTGGTGGAAGGAGGTAGAAAGGTGATTTTGCACAGACAACGATAGTTTGTCAGGAGGGTTTGTCAATGGGCGGGGGCGATTCGTAGCGATATACCTAGCAGAAATGAAGTATTGAATGCGTATGAATGACAAGCTGTCCTTGGTTTATCCATCAGTATACCTCAATCATGCTAGAGGAACGTAACATGATTAGTAATATTTTTCTCCGCAAATAGTAGAAGTCAAATTTGCTTCACAACACAGCAATAGTTCCAGATTAGGTTTTTTGATTTGAGCAAAATGGGTGTCATACGCATATACATAAATGCAAACGAGAAAAAGACATGACTCAGATCGTGAAGATCGACAGAAACCAACAAAAGAACGCCCCGCTGATTGAGGGGAGAGAGAGAGAGAGAGACGAACAAGCCTGTCTCTGTCTTCCTCTCTCTCTCCTTACCACCACCCTGACGACAAAAGGAAAAGAAAAACGCCAAACGAACCGATTCTAGGTTCCTGTATACACGTGGGTTGAAAGACCCTTTGCGTGAGAATATTCGAAGTCGTGAAAGAAGAGAAAGTTGATATATATCTCCCGTAGCGTTCGGCGATGGAGAGAGAGAGAGGTGAAAAAAAAAGGGGCAACAGGAAACTTATTTGGTGATGAAACCAAGGTAATCAGCGACGATGAGAGTAACCATACTATTAGTTTTCGTTAGTTGGAATATTCCAGAGTAAACGTAGGGAAGGGAACTTACGCATGCGGCGCAATGCGCACATAGTAGGTTCCAAAGCCACGATAGAACCTGAGCAGGCCTTCCTCTTTGGCGACCTTCTTGAAGCAGTCAAACATGCCCTTGTAGGGCAGCGTTCCATCGGGGGCACGCGTCTGCTTCTGGAGGCGCGTCTTCATAAAGTCAAAGGGGAGGGAGAGGAAACTAGCAAAGAAACCGGCAATAGCGCTAGCCGTCAGCGTCTGCGAGCGGCTCGACAGGCTGGTATGCTGCAGCTGCTGCTTTGCCTCTGAGAAGAAGGCGAGCTGCCCAAAGTTGAGGGCCATGGCGCGCACGACGGTCGGGTAGCTGCCGGCCCAGAGGCGGGTGACGCCTTCAGCCTTGCTTATTCGCACCAGGGCGTCGATGACCGAAGTGTAGTTTGCGCGCTGGGCGGCGGGTTTGAGGCCGTCGGATTGCATGCGGATGAGGGCTAGGTCAGCGGGGTTGCCGACAATGGCGGCGAGACCGCCGGCTGCGAGACCAGCGCCTGCGCGCTCCTTGAAGCCGATTGAAGTGCCGTTTTCCTTTGCCCGTGCACTTAGGGTCTTCATGAAGGTGTCGAAGAAGCCGAGCCGGGCAGTCGTGTACACGGCTTGGCGTAAGATGCCGGCGCTGAGTCCCGTGTAGAGATCTAGCACTTTGCCCTGTGCAACGATATCCCGGAGCACGCTGATGGGTGTGGGCTTGGGGCCGGTTTTGACTCCTTCACCCGCGAGTTGGAGACGTACTTTGACCATGTCGACGGGCTGGATGACTGTCGTAGCCGTCATGCCTGCAATGCCGCCGTTTATAAACGGTAGTGCTGCACGCATGAACGGTGTGTGAAGAAAGTCTGAAGTCGCCTTCCTGGGGTTCTCGGCTGCTTTGGACATGGCGGAGGATGCGTCGCTGAGGACTGATTCTGAGGATTGCTTTGCGTTTTCGAGGGCGCGGGCAGCAGGCATCTTAAAGGTATGGGAGGTGGCTGTCGTAGTTGACATGGCAGGCGTCAGCAACTGCACGGAGTCCTAATTCCAAGGATTTTTCGTGTGTGAATGGGGTGATGATATGAAAGGGTAGTGCTGTTGGGTATAACGCTGCGCTATGCTGAAATGATCAAACGGGGAAAGCAATATAGGAGAGGACTGAAGTTGGAAAAGTCGACGAAGGAGACCGCCATCTAACTATATGTCCAGGGACGATGAAACTACGACATGACGCGCGCCTGTGGCTCCAAGCCACTTGCAAGAGCCTCATGTTGCAATACAGGTTCCAGACGGTATGCGCCGCGGCCGTGGACATTGTCAAGGCTAGCTAGCCTGCTATGACATGGATGTACAGTTTGCGCCCAACGCACAGTAAACATTCAAAGTGGGCTTGTGACGGAAAACGTCTCCGTGTGCAGTGGCCCTCCTCTTTCCGATCATACCCGCGCCGTCACGAAGGGGCACAACATGTCGGTGAATAAGAAGAAAGGGTGTTGGGGCGTACCTCGTGCTATGGAGTCTGTGCGGAGGTGGATGTCCCGGACCGAGTAGGAGACGAGTGGGGTGTGGGTCGGGCGGGCTTGGAAGTGGATGCGTGCTATGGCGTACGTGCGTTGGACGGCCGGCTTCAATGCTTCAACAATGTTGCAACAGGAGGTGCTGAGAATGTGAGGAAGACAAACGAGGCTGAAGGTTCAGTAGAGAAGTGAAGAGGTCAGAAATAGCACGACTGTCTACGTATTGTCAACAAGTCAGTCCACTGGTGCCATGAACTGAGGGGTTGAACGGCCTTTTCCCCGCATCGCCGTGCTACCCAGCGAGCCACTGACATGGAGAGCTGATGTTATGCGCATTTCCATGGCTGCCCGCCCAATCAAGCCTGACGGGTTACCTGTGCTCTGATGCCATGGTCGCCTGCCTCACACGCCTCAACGCCATGGCGGAGCAGCAAAAGCTGGAGGCGCTTGTGTCGCCTGTCGGACCCAACCTCTTGTCCGTCTCTCCCCGACGGTTGCTTTCGGGGATCTATGCCTGTCTCCGGGTCAAAGGGTTCAGTCAGATCTTCAGGCACGCTATCCTCCACGTCTTTCCGTTCCCCCGTGTGCGGAACCGCTACTATGCTGTACATAATCACGAGCAATGACGTCTGTCATAGCAGCCACCTTCGGCCAATCCATCCCTCGCAAACACGCCCTGTCACATGCCAACGACCACCTGTAGCAGTACATCACCGTACATAAGCTCCATGTCAGGTCCTCACCTAGTTGTAGGCAATGTGACCTCAGCGCGCTTTTCTGCGCCCTAATCGCCTCTTCGACAATCGCGAACGACAACCGTGCATCGTTCTTACCAGCCGCGCATGGCATGCACAGTGCTTTTTGAGTCGCTTCGAGTACTTATTGATATACCGCCTTTTGCGCATCTGCTTGGAGCAAAAGGGTCACGCCGGTTTGGGTCAAACGCAGGGTCTTTCCCGTACTTGTGAGCCGTTCAAACAAAAAATGCTTTCTGCGCGGCTGTAGCTGCGCGCTTGAACGTACCCGAGAGGTATCCGCGGCCGTAGACATTTGCTTCTGACGATAAGCACCGAGATTCTGCTGGCCCCAATCGAAACCACGGTGGGTCTTTCATTGATGTCTAGATGCACGGTTTTCCGAGCCCAGGTCCGTCAACAAAAGGAAAAGTCGTTTTGTTTATCCGGGGAAGCGGTCGGATAAGCCGAGGATACAGCAACATCGGCTTGTCTGCAGAAGTAACACCTTCACAAAGGTTTGCGACAACTTTATTGGAGGAATATCGCTGTACAAGAAAAGAACGGGTCGTTTACCGGCAGGTGAGTGTGGCGCTGGACTTGGGCAGCAACTTGACAATCTCAACGCCTCATGCATTTATGGACTATTCATCACAGATCTGCGGGTATCAGTGCGTCCTCCCATCTGAGCCTCAAGCTGACAGTTCTCCGTCGCTAGTATCACCTCGGTCCCCGGCACTACCTGACGGGACTGGCTGAGATTGCTTGTCCGAACTAGGCGCTTGCATCTCATCCTCGGAACTTTCTTCGGCTTCTGCAAGCTCAGCTTCCTGCATACGTCTGATCTTGCGGATGAGGACTTTGTTCGAGTGCAAGTCGGTCTCCGTGAGCATCTGGCCGAAATTGTCAGCATAAACATTCACCCGGATGGCACTCAACAATCAAACAAAACAGAGGAAGCCATGCTTACCTGGTTACATCCGGTGACTGGACAGTCAACTGCTTTTTGTTGCCCGATTCTGTGAGGACCTCGCCGAATCATCTCGAGAATTGCATTCTTTTCAAAAGTATGCGGACACTTATTGCTTGAGTAAGGCTCTTTGAACTGCTGATACGTAATTGGACATCGCGTGCTGATAGTAGCTCGGTCTACGACAATGTCATCATCGTCATCGAAATCACCGCGCTGTGTGCTATCGGTGATTCCTGGCGCTGGTGATCCAGTCTCAGTGAACCAAGTATCTTCGTGGCCCAAGACAGGACCACTGTCCCCGTACTTTGCATCATGTACTATTCGCTTGAAGTCGCGGTATTCGTTGTTGCGAGCATAGCGTGCCGTAAGGGAAAGTGATGTATAGGCGTCCTTTTCGCGTTGCACACGCGAGGCAAATAATTCGCTTGCACCGGTGAGAGCTATTCGAGACCCATCAATAGGGGTCGGGCCGGGCGTAGGGCCTTCATCCATCTCAGTGTCTCCATCTCCGTCAACGTTTCGGGTACGCCGCTGAGTGCCTGTTTGACTTTGTGATTGTCGCTGCGTTTCTCGCTGCGTCATTTGGGTGCGGTATTCTTCTTCTAACGTTATAGGTGCATGGGTTCTAAGCCAATCAAGCGTATCATCAATTCTCTGCGCCGCAACCCCGGAGTCGATGACTGCACGCATGCTTTCTTCCAGCTTCGCAGTGGCTTCTTCTACTTTCAGTTTCAATTCCTCCATGTCTCGCTCCTCCATGTCTCTATCCTCCAGGTTTTTGCCCGCATCCCACTTCTTCCTCCGTCGTGCTATGTATTCGGCATGATCGCGCAGAATATCGTTGACGTTCTCGGCGCTGGCAGTGATGGCGGAAGCAGCCTGCTTGCTGTGTCTTTTGACGTCGTTTAAACTGCGGCCCTGCAGTTCGCGCAGGGCGCGGGTCGCCTCGGTATCAAGAGGGTGAGACGGCTTCTTGTACGGTGGAAGTGTGTCGGCAACAGCATTGCGGCTTGGGGTAAACACTCCAGACTGGCGGCTGGCAGTCGGTCGAGCCGTTGATTGTCTGTTACGAGACGACATGTGGAATTGTTTAAAATGATAAACAGAAGACGCTTTGATCCGCACGAAAATGTGACACGGATGCGGGGGACGCGTCCGTAATTTAGCGCAGCAATAGCGCCTTCGCCAAGTCACATGATCATCAAGCCATGTACTTGGACATTTGTTTCTGCAGCTGGAAAGGTTTAATGGACCTGTAGTACACAAAGCAGGTGAAGAAGGGTACTAATTCACTGCAGCTTTCAAGATGAAGGAAAGAACTGCATTACTCAGAGAATCACAATCCCACTCTGAAATTCCCTCTTCATCGACTTCGATATCCCTCTAAAAATACTATACGCTCAGTAACCCCACCCCAGCCGTCGTCTGTATGCTTCCTTATTAGCTTAGCTAATTCAACCCCATCTCCACTTTCTACAGCCGTATCGTCCTCCTTGCTCCATATACCCCTTTCATTAGGCAGAGGCTTGCCCTGCTTCCACGCATCGAGCACTTTGACAGCAAGCTCGGGACGTAAGCCTGTACGTTTGAGCGCTGCACTGATGAAATCGTTGGGAAACCCTTGGGCATTTTGCTCGTCATAGAATTCGTTGATTTCTTCGGCGTTGAGCGGTGGGTCGGGGTCGCCCGAGCTAGTAGAGGGTGCTGGAGAAGAGGATAAGCGGAGAGGTTGGGGTGGATATTGAGGGTAAGTGGCTTCACCCGCATCCTCTTCCGGGAGGGAGCGGCGAAACTCTTCCATCGATTGTGTGGTGGACGCATCAGATCCTGGAATCTGAGGCGATGAAAACAGTAGCTCCTGTTGAAAATTCGGTTCTTGAGCAAAGCCAATTGAGCGCGGAAACCCGTCTTGACTAGGTGAGGATAGGATCGCCTGAGTATCGAAATTTGACACTTTCTGGCGCGTGGCTCGTGGTGTTGGCGTGTTTGAAAGTAGATCATCTTCTGAACCTGTTTCGTAACCTGGTGGTTGACGCAGATGATGTATATCTAGAGACTCGTCCGACTCGATACTCTCCACTTCCTTTTCTGCACCCTGCCTATCCAGCTCAACCATGGTGGCCTCGTCATCTTCTACAGAGTCGGGTATATCTGGCCTAACCTGCTCCTTGATGGACTTTGACTGAATTGTGTCCTGTGAGTCTGCAGACGATGAAATCTCCAGTGGCTGCTGTTGGGTACCAGTCTTTTCGGTTGGCGTCTCTAATATGTTGTTCTTGGTGGGCGTTGCACTTCCGCTTTTCCGTCGTTTGATAAGTCGAGGTGACTCAATCTCTTCATCCTGCTCTTCTGTCTCATCATCTTCTCGTGATCGCTTGATAAACTGCTCGTTTTTCTCAACATGGAATTTAGGGGACTCGTGTTGAGCTTTTGAAGATGGGGATCTCGTAGGTGCTTGTGCTGTTTTGGTAGAGTTTTCAGTCTCTTCCGAGGCTTGCGCAGTAGCTTTTTTATCCATAGCCAGATATGGTGCTTTCTCTTCTATCGAGAGAGAGGACCATTGATTTATTAAGACGATATGTAGTGCAGCTAAAATGTAGATCAATCATGACTGCATCAACAACAGATACATAGACACTTACTGTAACCCCTACCAGGATGTGCATTCAAAGTTTCTTGCTTCTTTTCACGGGCAAAGAACTTGTAGGCTGATGGGACTTTGTTGTTGTGTTCGTTATTAATCAATTCTTCGAAGCGTTCATTGTTAAAACCTGGTGTCTGCACTGGTGTATCGCCCTCTACTGGGACTGTGGACTGCGCAGCTTCTTCCTCTGGTTTGATCGATTGAGAAAACGGTTGGCTGATTGATTGACTCTGGTTGTGGTTGTCTTCATCATGCTTCTTCTCGACTTTTCTCTTGACCCTTTCCCTTTTTGACACTGGATCGATGAGCCATTGCGGACGAACCACCTTTTCAAAGTACTGCCGCCATTGTACAGCGGTTTGATTGTCCTGCTGCTCTGCCCATTTTTCCCATGCCGAATCATACTCGTCGCTCATTTCTAGGCTACTAATTGTATCCGCAAAGGCGTAGAGCTCTAGCCAATCATCCGTAGTAAAAAGTCCTTCCAGCTCAATGACACTATAGTCTTTTTTGGCACTGGGTTTCTTCGCAGTCGGTTCCTGCTCCTGTTTAGATGTATGTTGTCTGTTGGTGCTGGAAGACGATGCGGCTGGAGGCGTACGTTTATTGGCTTGGTCAGACGAGGGAGACGGAGGAGCATTGTCGGGTAAGCTGAAGGCAGATGGAGGGCGGTTTCGGAGTTGCTTGAGATAGCGATCGCGCCATGATTGCCATGTGTGTTGCGGGTACTATATTGGTTTAGCAGACGTACTCGTGCCAGACTTGTTTGTTTGCGTGTACCTTCTGCTCCAATTCTTGGTAAATCTTGTTCCCACTCACAGGGCTACCGCTTGACTCAGCTTCATGTGCCCATTTGTAGAGTATTCTGTCTTCTTCTGCTGTGTATGGCGTCCTCCCGCTCTTGGTAGGCTGGTGGATGGCTCCCGGTTCTCGCACCTCGCCCAACGGCGGACCAGCTGGATGGTTTTTGGGGTCGCACAGTTCTCCATTCTTGATTGACTTGGTGACAAACTCGTATGAGATCGAACCCGGTGGACAATCTCTTCGGAAGTGATCGGCAATCATATAGTCGGCCTTCTTCTCCAGCAGCACAATCTCTCCGCCATTGGCCTTGATCTCATCCAGTAGGCGGTTCCGCGTCGGTACGCGCTGCGCGACCCAGAATTTTTTACCTGCGAATAAGTTTCCGCCGGATTCGAAGTCGAATCCCTCTTTGACATCGTTGTACACAACAGATGCGGCCATGGTCGGGTTGTCACTGTCGCGCTAGGTGGTGGTGAGTCGACGCGTTACTAGTTGAGCTGTGACGAGACGCGCTCACATGTGACGGAGGATTCACGCGGGGTCAGGTGTCGACAGCCGCGTAGTCCCTTCAGCCTGTTCCCCCACGATCCCTTGCACACATACGGCTTGGTAGACCACAACACATCGTGATAATGATGCGACAATAATTTTGAAATTTCTTCCTTCTTTACTCCGCCATGCGACACCTATTACAATCTGTCCTTCCCCCATCATGACTGTCGCTCGCACGATCATCATCTTCACTGTCACAGTGTCCCTTGTTACCTTCATAGCCTTTTTCGGGCGGCTGCCAGCTTTTAGGTACCTACGCTATGCGCGAGTGACAAGATTGCCTCTAACAAGTCTAGAAATACACCCATTGGCTTCCTCAACCGTCTCTTCCTTATTCATATCCCTTCGACATTTCGAAGGGTCGACATCGCTCTCACAAATGGCCGCATCACCAACGGTGGCTCCCGCCTGGGCCACTATCTTATGTACGACAAGCATCCACTCGTCGTAATTTTCTTTCTCGGCTTGGTTACTGCATGCGCCGTCATGTTTCTGCCCGCTGTGTGGCATCTCATTGGGCTGCACCACAAGCTCTTCGCCTTTGTCATGCTGCCACAGCCGTACATTTTTCTGTACCTAAGTGCGAAAAGAAACGACCAAACATATATAAATGCAGCGAATCACGCCGAGCAGATGCGGCACTATCCGTACGATAGGGTGCTGTACTACCCTGGCACCGAGTGTCGGACTTGCAAGTTCCTGAAGCCTGCGCGGAGCAAACATTGCAGCATATGCAAAACCTGCGTCTCGAGAATGGATCATCATTGCATATGGGTGAACAACTGCCTAGGCCGGGGCAATTACAAGTGGTTCCTAGCTCTCTTGTTTTCAACAAGTATCCTTATTGCCTTTGGAGCATACCTAGCCTACTATGCTCTCTCTCCGATGGTCTTAAAGCAGTACCTAAAGTACGAGAGCTGGTATAGATACAAACCCAAGATTGGTGCCGACTCTAAGAGCTGGAGTGCGTATCTTGACCGAAAGATGCATTACTTCCTCATGTACACGAGCATATACCTGGACGTCGGTGGTATTCGCGGATCCGGAGTCGGCCTACTCGCGCTTCTCACATGGCCGCTTCCATTAGGTCTCCTCACCTACCACATCTACCTCATCTGGGCGGGCATGACAACAAACGAGAGCTCAAAATGGGCAGACTGGCGTGATGAAATGGCAGATGGTGTTGTTTTTCTCGGTCACCGGCGCGAGGACACGATGCAGCAGTACCGTAGCCCAACAGATGACGAGGAACCGCCCACCACATGGCCTCTAGAGAGCAGGCATGTTCTCATTCGAACACGAACCGGGCAACCTCCAAAATCGCTACCTAGTCGAATCAAATCCGTCGCTAAAGAAGACAGCTTTGAGCGTGTGTGGAATCTAGCTGCAGTGGAGAATGTATACGACTTGGGCTTCTGGGACAATATCTTAGAGGTACTAGTGAACTAATACAACAACCATATACCTTGCAAGTATCCATCTGCCCATCTTTCCATGTAGTGAGGCTCCCCACCTAACCATCCTTGCTGCTTACCCCAGACCCTTTACGCGTTCACGCATCTGCATCAAAACCTGCTAGTACACCCTTGCGATGCGTGACGTCATGCTCGTCGCCTTCTCACAGCCACCAACCACCAGGGCAACATACAAAGCAACTTATCTACCAAGCGTACTTGCTTGTAACACAAAGCACACTAGTTTCTTTGAATCTCATCAAGCCAAACACACATCACCGTCTCCATAAAGAAAGATAAGAATCAAACACAATGACTCAAGCCCTCTCCAAACAAAACAATCAAAATCAAGTCCAGCAGCGCCACCAAGACAGTGCAACTCAAGTCCATGAGAGGACTGCGAGCGCAAATGCATCTGTGAGTCTTTCCCCTTCTACCTCTTGGCCTCGCTTCCCCCTTTTCCTCAATAGCAACCTTGGTCAAAATCCCTCCCCCCCCCCCCCCCCACAATTCATCGACAAGAAAAAAAGGAAAATCTAACATGAAGCAAAAAATGAAATAGGCAGGTCTAAACCTCAACCTCTTCGCCGCTCTCTCCGGCGCTTTCAGTTCAAAGTCGAAAAAGAGTACGCGCCAGGAAGCGAATGGGGACACTGTTACGGAGGAGGAGAGGTGGGATAGAGGTATGCAATTCTCTCTCTTCTTGTTGTTGTTTTCTTAAGCTACAATAGGAAAAAAATGGGTTGATTTTTATAATAGAGGCTAATGGGTGTGTGTAATGCAGGTGAAGCAAGTGGGGTTGCCAGGGCTCAAGGGCATGCATGTGCGGCTGCGAATGCGGAGGAGAGGGAAGTCAAGGCGAAGAGGGTTGATCATTTGGGGATTGAAGGGTGAGAAAAGGGGAAGAAAATTAGAGTGGTTAGATAAAGGTGAAGAGGGATTTTTTTTGGGGTGGGGGGTGAGATATGAAGACATAAAGTCATTTAATCAATCAGATTGAACATTTCTACACATGAGCGAATAAATCCGAAACAAAAAAAGAAAAGAGCACAGAAATGATAAATGAATAATGATAAAAGAGACGCTGGTATATCCCGCCGTTACATGCTATCTAACGCCAAAAAAAACCGAATTATACACTCCCATTTCACTTCTTAAAACATTTCGATCACACTGCAGTTCCAGCACCACCGCTAATCTTACTCAACCCTTCAACTCCCCTCTTAGCAGCAGCAACATGCCAGGGAATAGTCCCATTTCTCGTACCCCTCATTCCTCTCAACTTAGCCAACAAGCCCAATGCCCTAAACTGTCCAAGAACTTCTTTTAGCAGTCCTTCGGCTGTCGTTCTTGTTTGTGGTGTAGGCGTCCACATGAGGCTGGTTGTGCTTCTCTGGCCCTCCTGACCCGGCCCAGGACTCTGTGGCGTACCAGGATTGTTGGCATATGGATTCGGGAGATTGGAGCCACCAGGGCTGGGTAGGTCCGAGGACGATATTGAGGATGCCGGTGCATTCGCAGAAGATGATGTACTTGAGGGAAAGGGCAAGTTGGTAGTGGCATTACGAGATGAGCCTACAGCGCCGATCCAGAGGAAGTTTACGGCTATGACAATGGGTCCTTGCTCTGGGTCTGGAATGGGGTGCGCGATGCTGTTAGATGTTTGCAACGTTTCACCGCGTTTGACGAGCAGGCCGGATATGAGGGCTGGGCTGAACTGGGTCGTTGTGTGCGAGTTGTGCAAACGATGGGCAAGGATTATGCCCCAAGTGTCGTCAGTTACATCTATGAGACGTGCTTCGGGATCGGCGGCTGGATCTGTAGCCGTAGGGTCGGCGGCAGGTGTGGCGGCGGGTGTAAGACCTGGTCCTGGATCTGAAGGCGACACACCAGCTTGGGGTGTAGAACCTGGAGTGGTAGCTCCAGCGCCAGTTGCTGGGGTTGGATTAGGCACCGTAGGCGTGAATTGGTATGGCGGGTCTGTATCAACTGCAGTGAGCAATGTGACAAAGACATTGATCTGGGTGGGACATGAGATGAGAAAGACCCATGTCTCGAGCTCTTCCCTCTCAAGGACACCAGCTTTGGCGATGCAGACACGCCAGTTGACTCTTCGAGATTGCAGTATCTCGATAGTAGTTTGCCATATCTCCTTCGCAATCTCTCTGAACATTCTTGTCCCTAGGTAGTACGAGACGACTGCTTGAGATTTGCCACAGCTGTCAGTCCATGCAGCGGTAACCCACGCACCATCGAGACTGATGGCGTAGCCGAGATGCATGTACGTGTTCTCCCGCAGCAAGTCCTGGGCTGGCTCGGATATAAGCTTGAAAGGGATATTGCGCGGTAGTGTCTCTTCCAGATGGAACGCAGGTGCTTTGTAGATGCTGAGGGATGTCTTGTCACCACTTGGCGCGCTGGGAGGGCATCGGTCGTAGACCTCTCGCGCAAGGCCCATGTACGTAGATGGGTCGAGGATAACGGGTGCATCAAATGAAGCGACGTACTTCATAGGGATGATCTGTAGCACGACATCTGGCTTCTGTGGCTGGTCTGGACGTCCTGGGTGACCTTGCGTGTATGCCTGGAACAGCGCCCAAAACGCCGAGCACAGTTCCCAAACTGCTGATGACCCTCCAAAAGGATCAATGATGTAAATGACAAAGGCATCAACCTTGGAATCCTGTTGCTCTCGTATTTGGCCGTATTGAAGAGCGAGAAGTTTACCAAGTTGGACACACGTATCCTTGAGAAGTTTGAATGTTTCTCGCGGTGCAATGGTCGAGGTTGCCCTGACGGGTACAAGGCCGCCTTCGTACTCTACTGCCGTCTCCACCCGACTGTGATTACCAAGCTTACAGCCATCATAGGCAAGCTGTAGGTTAAGCAGGAAGCTTTCCAAACACGGTCTTATTGCATCACTGTGGGGATATACACAGAACGTGACAATGTTCTTTGGGTGGCTGATGGGGGAGAGTCCTAGTGTTTCCCAAAACGCTACCGCAGGCGGCAGTAGATCCCAGTGCGTCTCTGCACGACGCACTCTCAGGAATGGCGCCTGGATTTGATACATGTGACTCCCTGTGACTGCTGGGCTATCTGATTTCCGTGCAGGAGGTCTTTGCTGTGCTTTGGCCAGAGCGGCATAGTCCTGGAATACTTCGTTGACACCGGCCAACGTAGGCAGATCGCAATCCGTAGCGGTTGGAAAGAGGTTTTTGATAACCTTGTACCAAGGCGTCTCGGCAACAGCATCGTTGTTGAATTCGCTTCGTATGGGTGGGTCCTCGCTGAGCATATCGAGTGTTGTAGAGACAAGCTGGTCAGTCACGATTTGTGTAATGGAGATGCTATCCTTTGCACTCAGCGGCTTCTCATCCGGTACCTCATACGCGGGATCGGGCTGAGAAGTAGGGGTGTCGGGCATCTGCGCAG